GCTTAATGCGTGCCAGGCTGCCTCTTCAACCACAAGCACGTTGGATGCAGCGATGCTTCAGCCCATGGTGAGCTCCACAATTAAATGTCCCATACAATAGGAAAAAGAATGCAAAACACATTTCTCATCCTCTAAACCAGAAGATCCGATTTGCAGGAAACAAAAAAGCAGAAAGATTCAGAGCGCTGCAACACTCTGATGCTCTCCTAGAAGGATCACGCCGAGGCAGAGGAAAACTTTCTACCCTGCTTCTGTGCTTCAAGTGAACTCGTATTTGTGTTTCCAATAAAGAGCCATTTTTACATTAACTGTAACAGCAGGGAATAGGAAAACTAACACAATCTTTACCTTGTACAAAGGATGATATTGGTGTCACGTGTTTGCTTCTTCAAAAAATGTTATTTATAAAAGGCAACGAGGAAAGCTGAGACTCTGCCCTGTATCCCCGCGCGACTAGCATTAGAGCAACTTTTTGATCCCCCACATTTTTTACATTTTTCCCCCCCAAGAAGTAAATTTCACAGCCGCACAGGCCACCGCCTTTAATTAAGCTTTCAAAAGTCTTCTGACAATGCCAACAATTGCAAGACACTTCTGGAGCTCAATCATGCAATCATCGTGACACTTCTATTTACAATTTGTCTTAGAAAGAGTTTCTCTGACATTGTACTTTGACAAAACAGCCAAGCTGCCGGTTCACAACCTTTCTCTGTCTTATTTACAAATACAGCTTGTACGCAGGGCTCCGAATCTCAGCAGCAGGAGCCTCTGGGTAGTACCCTCACTATTTTTCCTGCTTGCAACTGTTTTACCCAGCCTGTGCTCTCCGTTTCTTTATATGGGGAAAGCAGACAGACTTTGACTCCAAAATATTTCCATAGTCCCTTCCCCCCCTCCTTTTTTTAAGCTTCCATCTTATTGTCCAGATGCAATGCTAACTATTCAATCCAGACAGCAATAATTTTTTGTCTCAGGAACAAAACAAAATAATAAGGAATAGCAATTTACAACCTACAGAATTATAATGACAACTACTAATAACAGCCCAAGAAAATTTCTGTGGTGTAATGACTACTCAAAGACATTACCTCCTGAGAACTGTAATAATCAAACATACTTGATCTAAAATTTAGTACCAAATTATGTCCACCTTCCCCCAATTACTGCAGAGGTTTTTCTTATGTTATTTTTCCTCGTATTTTATTTGAATGCCACAAGCAGCTTGAGAATAAAGGATTCAAGCAAGTAAAAATGACCTTCCCTCCTCCTTCCCTCTTTGTACAGTAAATACGGCATCCGCAGATACACACTCGGCATTATAAAGGGGAATATGCAGCAGCACTCCAAAGTGTTCCTCCAACTGAATCCAAGTAACATTTAAGATCCTCCTTCACCCAAAAAACAACCTTTTATTAATTCCCTCGGATTTATACATTCAACAAACAAACCGCTAAAACCTGACACCGGCAGACGATAAATATTTCTTCAGCCTTTTCAATAAGTGAACAGCAATTTTACATTCACTGATCTCTAGATACTTCAGTTAATATTTCCCCCTATTGTAAAATATGAGAGCGGATAACTAAAGCCCTGCCGTAGCACTCACTGCAAATCACGGGCTGCCGGTATCTGGTGGTGAAGCTTTGACATACATATTGATGAAAGCTGCCTCATTGGACCCACACAACATATCCTATTAATTTTCAGTTAAATTTATGACATTTCAGCTATAGCGCTGGATCAGCATCACTCAAAATTTTATAGCAAGTCAAAGCTACGCACAGGCAGACACCACACGGAATAGAGACAGGTACGCATGCCTGCACCTCTATGGATCTCACAGCCACTGCACAGGTTGCACGCATACATATAAGCTTTTGTAATCATCCCCATCTCTGGAAAACGGTGAGGATAAAGAGCAGCCTATCGACGGTTAAAATAGACATCATTTCTCCCTGCATTTGAATGACTGGCTGCCTCCTTCCTTGTCTTTAGATGAGCTGATCCTTAACCATTACTTATCCTAAGACGATCTTTTACTGTAACACACCAACTTACTGACTACAAAACTGCAGACAGAGCAAATACTGCATCCAGAGCTAACTTATAGCACCTCTGTATCCAGACCTAACCTGTAACACCTCTTTCAGCCTAACAACTAACTGGGAACATTTTCACAATGCTACTAAATACGCATTTTCTGGTCTTTCACCAGAAAGAATCAGTTCACTCAACTCCTGTATATTTTTCTAAAGGCAGCCTCTGTCCTTTTTTTTTTTCTTAATTACACACTCGTATTTTTTTGCATTTTGCATCCTTGCACAAAAATGAGATATAAAATGTCAGAATTCAAAGAGCCTGGGGTTCACTGCAGGAGTCTTCTAGAAACCTGAACTCCACAGCTCATTCGAAGAACCTCACCGGCAATTTTACTGACAGACCCAACAAACTCCTGGCCACAGGTCACTCCAGCTACTGTCACGCTTCTTTGGGATACGAGGGAGCTAAACTCATTCAAGTGAGACCCTGGTGCTCCTTCCCCTCCTTCAGCAGCCCAGCTGCATTTCCTGTCACTGGGAATAACCAGGGGACCGCAGCACCTATTGGCTCCGTCTTGGCTGGGAAGGTGCAGGGGAAGATCTGCACCCTTGGACCTCCCGTCCACGGGCACGGCTGGGCACCACCAGGCAGAAAACTGAGGCTGGGAGATACTCGGACAACTGCAGCTTGGTTTCTGCTCACAGCAGCCTTTGTGGCTCACGCCACCAAACCGAGCCAGGCCCACCTGCACAGCAAAGGCAAGCCCTATGTGTAAGGGCAAGCAGGATCCGGCCCCTGTCGATGTGCACCTCTCCTTACCCACTGCCCGCAGCTCACCCACCCCTTTAAAGTCAGTTAAAACCACAGCCTTTTCTGAATTAACAGCCCCGTGACATCGAGCGAGGCCAAATCCTGCCGGCTTCAAGTCACCTGCACCACACCAAGGTGCCATTTGGCTGGCCGAGCCTGCTGCACCCCACGAGTGCCAGCGCAAAACCCTCAGCTGAGGAGTGTCCCCTCGCACAGAACTCCCCAGCCTGGCTGTCCCTGCGGCTGAGGGACCTATTTGGGACCACAGGGAAGAGAGCGGGTTTAATTCTTGCTTGACAGATGCTGTGTTTTGTCTTTTCAGCAGAGCGGCGCCGTACGTAAATACAGTGTTACATCACACCGCCGCTCCTCCATATTTGGTGATTTAGTATGGCTCCAGAGCTCGGAAGACTACAAATCCCTTCCGCCAGGCTCCCGCTTCATTAATCATGCCCTACGCTTCTGCTCATTTTCCGTCAGATCGCAGGCAGCACATGGAAATGGGTACTGCCCTCTGCCACACTGGGGGAAAAAAAAAATCACCTTTAACATCTGTGGCTGGGAAGGGCAATAGGCAGAATTATTACTTTTTTAAGTCTCTTTCAAAATGTAGCTTAGCAGTATCTGAGCCTCCGTTTCCTGTTAAACATACATATATACCTGTATTCTAAGTAATACCTATGGCTCTGCAGAGACAGTATACATTCATTCACATTACGTATGCATGTGTATGCACATGGCTTTGCACACATACATGTGTGCAGACACACATATTTGCTTTCACCTCAAAGCTTTCGGAACTCCAGCTCCCCATTGCAATTTGCTGGCTGGTCTGGAGGCCAGGCTGCGGGAGCGTTGCGCTGAACCTCCCGGTGCCTACTGCCCTATTATGGTTTAACTCTGTGGCCGAAGCAAGCCCCAGACAAGCTCCAGCACATGGTGTGACGATGTACTGTGCCTCTGACAACCCCGAGCTGTCCTGCGGGCTCTGGGAAGCGAGGTACCGGCAGCACCACATCCCAAACGTCGCTGGGAAGTGGGGTTTGAAACCAGTTGGGGTATTGGTTGGTGCCGATACGCTGCCGTCTCGCCCTGTTCGACCAGTAGCGTTGGCGCGGTTTGGAGTGATTTGCAACGCTCCCTGCAAACGGGTAGTACCCTTGTTTACTACCCGGATTTTAAAAGCAGAGCGTGCCTTGTCACACTCCCAGGGCTCTGGGATTTTCTTTCACATAGCACGCTCTATTTTTTTAAACTCATTTGTTAAAATATCTGCACGGCAAACGGCTTTCCGGTTTGAGGGGAAAAAAAAAAAATTATGCTAAGAAATGGAATTATTTACCCTTTTTTAAAAAAATTACATTTCATATTGTTTGTTGCACAAAACAGAACTCTGCCTTGGACATTTGTACGGCTGACATGTGGCTGTGTAAACCGCAAACAAAATCAAGATACATCTGTCAAAACCACATCAGAGACAAGAGAGAGCACAGCGAAGCATTTATCATTTGGCTGAGGAGGCAGGCAGCAGAGAGCGGCCTTTCCTGTCAAACCAACCTTTTGAAATTTCCAACATGCCCTTAAACTTTTCGAATAAGCATGTCTGTGCGCTTCAGCAACTGCCCTCTCTACTCTGGCCTGGCCAGTCGAAAATGGCATCTTAAAGTCAAGGTCGGTGGTGTCACTTTGCCATGGGGCTGTGTTTAATTACAGTCCATACGCTGACAGCCAATATGGAACCAAGGCTGGCTGATGCTCAGTTAACTCTTTCCCCCCTGACTTTGCCCAAGACTCGAAAGCTCCTCGCTTTATCACGCGGCCGGCCCTGAAATCTCCTCCTGCAGCGCTACGGCAGGCGAGACACCGGGAGACGGGGACTACAATACAGGCAAATCACGAGAGCGGCCTCAAACAATACCGTTAGAAATACCGGCTGGCACGGCACGTGCCTGTTGATCCTGCCTCTGCGCAGGCACCGGGAAATACCGGTCGTGCGCTCACCACTAACCGGAGGCAGGGCATTTACCACATGGGCCGTCATGGCGAGCAGAACAGAGAGACAGACACGGCAGTTTTACAACTGCGAACACGCTATGTTGCAACTGAAACGGAAATAAACTCGCAAACACTTCTCCTTGCTTTTAATTTACCTGCTATATGTTCCTGTTTAGGGCAAATTCCTCTAGATGACGTTGATAAACAATCGTCATCCTCTGGCGTAACCTGGATGCCAACCTCCACAGGATTGGATGCTTTTTTCAGCTCACTTGGTGAGGGTGAAGGTGGCTTATCCACAGCCTTCTCTAAGCAGAGACTGCCATTGCATTGTTTCCGTTTGTGCTCAATAAAAATAAGAATGTCCCCCAACGGGAAGTTCATCTGACACTGGCCACAAGTGAGGAGGTCGTGGTCCCCTTCCGGAGCTCCCAATGTGCCATGTTCAGGTTCGTCATCAGTGAGAATGGCTTCAAGAGGTTCGGCTGCAGTTTGAGAAACAAAAGGAGAATCATTAGAGCTCTCAGGGAAAGGCACCAGGCGCGCAGCGGGGGGAAGAACGCGCCGAGCCCCCTCTTCATGAATATCACACCCTGCTCACCACGTCTGCCTGCTCCCCCCCAACTAAACCCATGCAACACGGCTGTGAGCACGGCAGCGAGAAGATGAATTCATCAGTTACAGGGAAAGGGATTTTGCAGAAGCAGCTGTAGCATGCAGAACTCGGAGAGCGAGCACTGCAACTGTCTCCGTGTTCCTACGTGAGGACAAATTTCTGACTCGACTGAACGACTCGGTGGCAAAATTAAATGAATAGTCTGAGAGAATACACTGCAAAACTCTCATGGTACTAGGAGGAGAAGTGAATTTGGTGTTTTATTGCCGGATGTATTTTTTATGTAGATGAATTCCAGGCTAAAAAGCACTGCACACACTCTCTCTCACACATATGGGTGTGTATTTTTCACCAGCCAGACCTACTTTCTAAAATTCACAAATCTGAACTATGCGGGGTGCGGGTGCAGACAAAAGGTGTTTGAACATACAGATATTGCATATCCCCTATAGAGGCTGTGCAGGTAGCGTGTGTGTGCAACAGAAAAGAGAGGGGCAGCCAGACCGCATGGCCGCACACAGCCAGGCACCGGCACACGCGGCACGTATAGCCCTTATAACGCACGTGCATACCTATACGTGTGTATCTGTGTCACTATCCCTATCAGCCCGCTTGCAGCTTCCCATTTAAAAATTCCAAAGCCAGGAGTTATTTGTGGGGGAGGGAGGGGACGAGACCAATAAATAAATATATAAATGGCAGAAACCGAAATGATAAAAAAGCAAGTGCAGCAGCAATGCCTGCGGGGCGGGGGGAGGCACCTCTCACTTTTCAGCTACTCCTCAGGATTCAAATAAATATCAAATTCACTACCAATTCCACCCAGAGGTATTAGCTAGATGGGATATTTTTTAGTACTTAAGGAAACAAGGCAATTAGTATTTTTTCCTTTTTCATCCTGAAATAAAGGCATGCCTAAATTATCTTGAACGTGTTAGCACTGGTGGCCCTCAGCATCTAAAAATCAGCGACTGCCACATTTCCTTGCAACAGTGAGAAGTGCCTTCTATAAACTCAAAATACCTTGCCTAATGTTGTCAAAGTTGACAAATGTCCTGAATGAGCTCCAAAAAGCTTCATTATGAGGCTATTTCTGCTCACAGAATTGTCAGTGGATGCTCTAACGAGGCAGACGCAGCTCTCTCTTCTGTTTGCTTTTTTTTTTTCTTTGGTTAAGTTTGGAGAGAAATACCTTGGCAATCTGTGTGCCATCACTGTTGCCTTTCACGAGAAACAAAAAAATAAACACCAGCAGCGTGTTGGTATTCCTCTACCTGCGCAATACAGCGTGCAGGCTAACAGCAGCGAGCAGGAGGAGAGGGTACTACACGTACAACCCACCTCAAAACACTGCCAGGTAACGCAAGAGAGACGGAATACAACTCCTAAACAGTTAATCAGCCTGACCTTCTTTAGCTGGCTGCCAATTTCACATTTAATGAACTTAAAGCCACAGAGAATCAAAAAATAGATTTTAATTTGACTGCACGATATTGGAACTGATTTTGATAAAGTGCAAAAATCCAGTGAACTCAGGTTAAATTTATTTCAACCCTACCTAGGCTGAATATTGAGGAGGAAGATCTGGAGTAGCTCCCAGTTGTGCTGCGTAAAATAATATTGAAAGAGCACACTACCTCGCCGTACCTCAGCTCCAACTAGGACACAGGGATCCAGTCCATCATTTCTTGCCTCTAGTACTACTTCTAATTTAACGTAAGGTCAACCACAGGAATATGAAGGTTACATTCGCATTAATAAAAACAATATCTTAATCGCAGGGGTTTTGTTCTAAACTTACAGACCGACAGGGTAAGACACACAACGTGCATTTCATGCTCCTCGGGAAGCCGGGAGAGGAGCAGGGAGGGTGTTTCTGCGGGATTGCTGGGCATGGCGGTTTTCTCCCCAGCCGCTTCTTGCCTTCGGACTGAGGGAGTAAATTATTGCAGGACTAATTCCACCAGTAGCTCGCTGCACGCCGCAGACAAAGGTATTTTGCAAATCTAACTTCTAGCTCACCAACTCTCCGCAGCAAAAAAAAAAAAAAAAGACACAAAATACCCCGTATTCCCCTTGCAACTGGCTTAGTGAGGAGCTCTGCATAATCATTATTCAATTATAATGTTTTCCCGCGGCCTGATTTCTTTCTGACGCTGTCAGTATTATTTAGCAGGAGAAGGTAACCCGCTGCTTCGATACCAGACAGTTAAAAGTAGCGCTAAACAAAAATAGACTTTGCTAAAGTCTGTACCGACTGGGCTGATTTACAATCAAAACCAGGAAATGAAGTGGTAATTCAGAGGTTGCTGATTACACCTCCACATTTCACCTAATTAATTTTATAGGAGGCAAAGTTCTTGAAAATAACAAGATGATCAAATGTACAGATATAAAACCTGTAACCTCAACATTTTCTATGCTCTTAACGTAAATTATTGCTAATTAACAAGAATTATATACTAATGTATGAAATACGGCTGGCACCATGTTCACTGCAAAACATTTGGCTCCTGATGGAGGCAGAGCCAGCAAAAATATATTTTTATTATTATTGCTACTTTTAAAACAAAATATAAAACACCGGCTTTACAAAGAAAACGCCAAAATACAATTCACCTGGTCTCGCTACTGATTTGCAGGATGCGTCTTTTAATTCTGGGGCAATCAAAATTCCCTGCCTGGGTCCCTAATCATCCGTCCCTATTTTTCATGCAAATTGCCCTTCCACCAACATGTCTTTTTCAGCTTCCCCCCTTCGCCCTCCTACTCCCCCCTTCTTCTCCGTTCCCAGTCACCAAAAACAACCGCGCTGTCTCTCCGACAAAAAAGCGGGATGGATTTTGGAGTGTCGGGAGAAAGGAGGTACTGGGGGGCGATGGGGACGGGGAGAGGGTAAATGCCACGGCACGGTGCGTGATAGTGCTCCGCCAGGGCATTTCCCCGCACCGTGCCGTGGGGAAGGATGGAAAAGGGCTGTATAATCCCCAAGTTTGTGTCCTGGGATCGGTACGGTGCAAAGGAGGGGGCTGGGGGTGGACTCGGGGAGTACAATGGGAACACGTTATGGGGGGGGTGAGAGAACTCGGCGAGGAGGAAGGCGAGCATCACCCGCTGCCTCCCGGAGCAAGCAAACTCCGCGCAAAATTAAGAACAA